CGCTTTGTGCAAAATCATCTGCAGGAGACTCTCTCGTTTATTCCAGCTTATGGAGGAGACAAAGGAAATCTCTTCCATCAATTCATTTTTGGGTTGGCGCGCGGTTTATTATAATTTCCATTCACATACACTCGCCCCAATGTTGGGGATTCTTTTTTTGGCATGACAAGGGGCGGAGGAGCTCGAGATATTTTCAGTCTTCCCTCCTTGTTTCATCGAGAGACAATCAATCTATCATGATGGCGTTTTTCTACCCATTTATTGATTAATATGAATAGCTTTTACACCCGCCCGAAGCCTTATTTTCACCCCCTTATTATGTGCGTTAAGAATACAAACTTCATTTTCAACACTCCGCATTGCTTGGCTGACTGGGAAATAGGAAAACTTTAAATTAGTACTACAATATTTTATAACTTTTTTCTCTGTACGCCAGAACACTGTCTCGCCAAACAAGGTTTATTATACGTTTATTACATATAAAAAATCATCCATCCTTTCGGTAATATTTTCCCTAGGATTTCCATAGCCATTAAAAATTCGAGCAGTTGCCGGTCTTTCATATTTTATAGTCGACTAACTCATGAATTTGAGATGATACTCCGGAATGGGCGACGTTGGGAAGACGGCACGACGTAAGAAGTAATCTCGTCTCCAGGCCATTTTGCATGAGAAACGATAATTCGTGTGATTTATGAGCCTCGGAGAGAAGTCTAGTTTCTATTGCACGGTTTGTCCAAATAGTACTGAATTGAATTATGGTCTATTTGTGCAGTGAGCAAACAATGCTTTGCCGCACACACACAATATTTTCCACAGTAATTCCTTGTGGTGCAAAACAGATAAAGTGTGGAGAGTTTCGTACGTCCTTCTCGCCTCTTCGTCATATCTATTTGGCATGGATTTCGCCCCAGAGAGAAAGACGCGCAAATCTCCGTTGAGGAGGATGTGCGGTGTATTTTCTAAAATTAGACACTTATTGAATTAAATCCTACGAGAGTGCTAAACAACAAACTAGTGCAATCTTTTTCTGGCGCCCACCCACTTTTCTGTATACACTAGACAACATCTAATGCAAATACACGCACCAAGAGACCCCAATGGAAGGAGTCAAATTTGCATAAATATCATTATATTAACAAGATACACGCAATCTAAGCGCGCGCGTAAATGTTTTCTGCAGACATAAAAAAGCACACAAGGGAAAGCAAATATCTAGGACTGTGAGCTTTTGGTGTGTAGAAGAAAGTGGAGGAAACAGAAATGACTTTGGGCTTTCCTGGGATGATAGCATCGAATTCAAGCGGAGGTCGTGAGACAGACAGTGTAAATAGTGCTTATAGGGCATTTTTCTACACCAAATACAATTGTGAAAAAAAACATAGAAGAGAAAAGGAGGTTTTGCGTTGGTCCATCAGAAATTGGAATTCGAATTTGAAGGCGAGAAAAGGGGTTGAAGAGACGGCATTTTTAATTAACTCCCCGGGCAGATATTTATGTGAGGAAAATTACCAGTAAATTTCCCCTTTGGGGAGTATCGAAGCTCACCATCTTCTCGCCCAGTTACCAACTGAAATTTTCCTTTCATTGTTTCTCTTCATCATCTCGAGTGGAACGATGGAAATCGTTAACTTTCCATTTCTATATAACAACGTTAGTTTATGGATTTTAACCCCAATGACCCTCTCAATGGAAGGCACGTAGTCTCCTTACACTATATTTCACTCAAGCCACCTTTCCATTCCACTTTGGGGGAGAAAACAGCAAAAGAATGGTCGCAATTTCTGCGTCAATATCATCTGCAGTGAATTGTTTTTAATCCACCAAGCATATTCCTCCGAAATAGTCCCATCAAATCTCATTCATCATCTCAAGTATCTCGAGTTTCTCGCGTAGATTTTCTGTTATTTCACTGGCGAGACGGAAAAAGACCACAATATTCCAGAGTGTTTTACTGCTTGTGATAAGTTTTATCGATATCCGATTTTTTGTCCCGGAATTTCCCTCAAACTCCACGCAAATCGAATAAGGTGAAAGCAAAGATTGCGATGTGCGGAGATTTTGATAGTGGCGCTATTCTCACATCTAGAACCATTCTTAATGCTTGACGCTGAAAATCTCCCTGATTTTATACCCAAAATCCTCAGCATTTTCGCTCATATCCTTTGGAAAATCTGCCAATATGCTTCTCAAAGGTCGTTTCCCGGCTTTTCCCGGCATATATTTTATCCCAAAAGCCAGATTTATGATGATCCCTCCTTAACCCATCTTTTAAAACCAAATTGGATGTTACCCAGTGAATCTATAGAAAATAATATCAATAAAATATGCACAAGAAATGACACGAAAATTGATAATATTCACAGTGTGTGGAAAAATTCAATCATATTTCAATACAGACTCAAAATGTCCAATTTTCCGTTGGTGCGAAATGATTTATCAAATTAACTGACGTTGGTTTGCGCCTTTTTGATTTTCGCCAAATTTATTGCATTCGCCGAACAGATTGTAATTCATCAGCATGAAATGGAATATAAATTGTATTGATTGTAATTAATTAAGTGAAACGAGAAAACTACTGTGTGAATTCACGTATTTCAGGCTTATCGATTCAACGGTGGCAGTAAATGCTGGATGTCTTGCTTATCTGTGGAGTGAAAGGATTTATTTTATTGTGAGAAATTTCCTCTCATAGGTAAACATCGTAGACGATATAGACAAAGACTTGCGGTTCAGCCAGGGAGGTTTTCGTGCCATGAATAATTCCCTTCATTAACTTTTTATTATCATCTCGTGTGTAAGTAGTGGGCTTACTGACTGACCCATTTAAGTGCTCAAGCAAACTCCGGCACGCCGCGCTGAGGCATGACGAAGGGAATAAAGTTCATGAGCTGGAAGAGAAATGTCATTGTGAATTGTAAATATAATTAGAGGGATGAAAGTCACGGGGAGCTTCACACAAGCAATTCGCCAAATCAATTGGATCGCCTCCGGGCGTATTTCTTTCCTTCGTTTCCTCCACATGAAGATGTTCGACAACGAAGGTCCAGAGCTTTCTCATCCCCATCGTCACATGGGCTACACAATATGTGACATTCGATTTGTTTTTTTCCCTCCCATCGCCGATGTCTGCAGGAATTTATGTTTTTCATCCATAGGCCCGTCCCTTGAGCACGTGAATTTCCACTTGATTGATCCGCTTGGGGAGTTCTCCCAACCCTCAATCGATATTCCATATACACACTGCGACATTGGGAAGTATAAAACTCTGCGTGCAATACAGAAGGTGTCGGAGCGATTAATGATTAAGGGATTTCCACGGGAGTCAAAGAGGCTGGGCGAGAAAGGTGAGCTCAACTCTCACAAAAGCCCAGGGAAAAGGTGAAACCAGTGATAAGGGATGAAATGGTGTGTTGTCAGGTCGAGTGTAGAATTACTCTGATAAAGAAGGTAAAAATTAAATTTCACCAAGAACTGTCAGGAGAGATTCCTGTAATCTTCTGGATTATTGTACAATTTGAAAGCACCCAGACACAATGGCTTTGCAGATAAACAATTTATTTCCCTAACACTGTCTTAAATTTTTCCCAGCGCAAAATATCCATTTCACTCACGTTCCAAAAAGGAGTATTTTTCTACCTGTTGAATTGCTATGATAGAAATAATCTCATACATCCACGGATCTTAGAAATTCCATCCATTTCTTCACAGCGCGACGACGACGAGAAAAGCTCCAAACGTGCTAATTGAAAACTTTCTCCTTGAGAACTTCCTGCATAATTAATCAATCACTCTGGGAGCTAAAAAGACAAACTCAAAGAGAGTTTCTAATGGATTTTTCCTAAGATATTGCGTTATCGTGAATTTTAAGCGACATTCTTACTTACCGAAGTGCGTGAATTTTGTGCGAAAATGTTGACCAATGAGACTTTTCTGGCGGTGTCAATGGCCCCTTGGCGAATTAAATTCACCATCCACCACTCGAAGGTGACGAAGCATTCCCACTTCTTTCCCACAGTAAAAGTGTGACCCTTAAATTTTCAAGTGACCTCGGATATTTCACGATATGTTTAATATTTAATTTAGCAAGAATAAAGATGTTTCCCATATTCGCGGAACAAATCAAATCCCTAATGTGCTATTCATCCATGGGGAAATGCTTCTTGTCTCTCTTCTCACCATCAACTTTGTCTGGGATTTGAGGGACGTCGTGAAGGTGATTTAGATGTGAATCTTTTTGTTCGAATTTCTCAACTTCTCTTCCTTCATTTCTTGCCATGATAAAGTTAGTCATTGCTCTCGGATGATGCAGAAAGAGAGAGATTGACAAGACTTTGGCTGTGGCAGTGAAAGAAATCCGAGATTTATTCAATTTCACGGGAAATTTAAACTTTCCTTTTGCACAAAATCACTCCACACAATTCTTCCAACATTATTTCAACTTGTGTTGCTGAGGCCGATGTTATTTCCATTATTATTTTCCATGCAAATAAACAATTTCGCCGGTGGACGGAGGAGAAAAAGAAACAACGAGGTTGTAAGGGTATTTTTGGACGTGAATTTTTCTCAAATAATAAATATCTCGAAGGAGGGTGAGGAAAAGCCTTTGCTTAATTTTGCGTAATCGTCGAAATATTTTGGGCGTGACAGCTATTATTTCCCCATAATAAATAAATTTCGATGTCATTTGATTATTTATGTGCTTCAAAGTAAATTGATTCTGTGCATATAGCGTATCATTTGGGAATAAATTGTTTGCACATATATAGAGATGATTATGCAATAAACTGTTTTGGCAATATTGTTTGCTCTCGATTCAATTGCAAATTTACACGTGAAATTATCGTCGGGACAGTCGCAAGAGACTCTCTAAAGCACAAATTGCAGTGACAGAAAATTAATTAAAATGCCAGCTTAGAAAAAACATACAAAATCAAAATACTTTTTATTCCATAATCTATTTTTTTTTCAGCATATTTCACACGACATTTCTTTTCCACTTCATTTTGCAACTTTTTTAATTTTCTATCGACACATTTTTTACAATTTTTTTCTCATATTTTCTTGATAAGCACTCTTCAAAGTTTTACATTCAGTTTATCATTAAATTAAAGCGTAATTTATGTACACGAATATCTTCCTGTTTCACATTGTATTAAGACGCAATAAATATCTTCTAAATACGTAGTAACATTAAATTCGTTTCCTTTTAATTTCTGCTCATCACAAGAGGCATTTCAGCTGTCTTGAATGTCTGCAGAGGAGTTTTAGAGTCTTCAAATTGATGATTTTTTTGCCTCTTGTGATTGGATTATTTCTAACATCCATTAAAGTATATTTATTATACTTTTGTAGTTACAATTTACTCTGAACATTCATGAACTCAACAGTTTGATATTTTCTTAGGAAAGAAAATTAATGAAACTCAAAATTTCTCTCCCTTGAACAAAAGTCAGAGAAAAATATATCACAAATATATATATTTTTCAGTATTTTCACGAGTTGCCTCACAATTTCCATTTCAGAATGATGACTACAAACCTCTTGAGAATGGTCAATAATTTCCTAACTATTTTCATTCATAAAAGTTCTAAATATCTTCTAAATACACGCAATAAAATTCAGTATCTTTTTCTCAACACTTCTTCTTTTCCCACCCCTAAATCTATGGCACTTTGGAGGTTTGTTTGTGTTTTTTTTCCTAAGAATTGTCCCCGCGTTTTAAGTTGAAAGAGCATTTTCTTCTATTCATTCTGCGGTAGAGCCGCAAAGTGCGTCCTTCTCTTGACTCGATGGACGACATTTCCACTAGAGATGATCATCCCTTGGCGACGGTGGCAATGGATTTGTGTTGCTGGTGAATGTCACTTTGTGGCTGCCTCCATTGGCCGTTGTGCTGGTGGAGGGATTCATGTTGTCGGCGATTGTCTCGTGGTGAATGAGTGACTCTTTGGCGTCCTCTTGGTGAGTGACCGCTTGTGTTCTTGTCACCAATTCGAGACGCTCATTGTGATTATCATCGTCCACGGAGCTGCCGTTACCTGCGCTCTTATTCAACTCTGTTAGTCAGACCTTCTCCTCACCAGGAACTTGTGGAGCACATCGCACAAACTGCAAGCCGAGCGGCTACATTGAAATTAACCAAATCCACCTTACGTGATGGTCGAATCTAATATCTACAACACTGTGAATTCCTCTAGAGAAGTCTCTCTTGGTGACCTTTCACATCGTACATTCCTCTACTTTATATCAATGCTTTCCATCTTCTCTCTATCTAGCCAATTGTATCTCGTTTCAAAGAAGTATAAATGATTTCGTGTAGAGAAGAGACTTGCAATAAGCATGCATTCAAATTAATAAATAATATATACTTAAAGAGAAAAATCCGACTGAAATGAAATGAAAAAAATTAACACATCTTAATCGATTCCTTTTGATTTGAAGAAAAAAGTCTAAACATTTGTGTGACTGTCTTGTAATTTTGTGTGTTAATTCAAATCTCTTCTCTAGCATAAAACCACGAGAGATTCCACAATACAAGTTCGGCAAAATGCTCTCTTACGCAGTAATACAAATAGCAATTCAGTATACAATATATTTTGCAAGGATTGTACACAATCACATGATGTCAAATTGGACATTGCAGAGAAAATTGTCATGCATGTTCTTTCTCTAAAGTGCAATAATACGTTCTGCAGAAAATTGAATATGCTGTACTTCCTTTTCGCAGAATGCAACTGAGTGATCTATTGACATGAAAGCTGGTATTTACTCATGGAATCCCTTTCTTTGTGGTGCCACAACACCGCAATCCAAGAAAGCGTCACATGTGTGTGATATTACGGATGGAAGGGTTGAAGGAACAAAGTCGAGAACACAGAGCAGAGAGAAGAAATTTCAAAGTGAATTGTACGAAAATTCTCCTTCAACAAGTCTAATATTGTGCTTTGTGAATGTTGACTTATATAAATTTTCTTTCGTTGTTCGGGGATCTTGAACTTGGCTGAATTTAATTCTATATTCCAAGGCATTAATTAAACAACTTTACTTACCGAAACTTGGGTCGCCGTGTATGAATTTGCCCGTGGCCGAAAAAACAGTGTTCGCCATTTTCGCTTGACCTGAGCCATCACTTCGCCATTGAAGAAGCAGAACAGCGAGGCGACGCACAAACCCTATATATACATATAGAATGTTGAGGGTGGCGAGAGAAAAAATAACCTTTATCAATTTATAAGGATCATCATGTTTTGAGGTGCTTTAGCGCAAAAATTCAAGATGCTCCTGAATAATTGCACAGCATTTAAAATGTTAAGCCTTTCAGTGGGGGTGATTAAATATTTTACAGGGCCGCCGACGGAGGGAAGAGAAACACTTTAATAAAGAGCTATACCTGAAATGAGGCCGTAAAAGCTGATACAGTCTCGTAAACGCGCTCCCACGGATGGCCCGGCGCCGGACGAAAGGGTGTCAAGATGTACTGCAGACCCAGAAGAGGAACGAGAAGGAGGGTGGCCCTGAATGAGCGATTTTACTAATTAATCAAAGGAAAACTTGGGATGATTCTGCAGCGATGGGCAAAGAGTGCTGACCTGAATGCCTGCAGCACGGTCCTGGAAGGTCCTCCGCCTTGTGGCCCGGCCGGCGCTTTGAGCTTCAGCAGCAGCACTCGCACAATGTTGCAGAGGAACAGGAGATTAAGTAGCATCGATATGACCACAGGTGCAACAAGTATGTTCGTGTACGACGTCTCATTGGCCCAACACCTGCCATTCAGCGCCGCACGATGAAGTGGGATTAAGAAATAAGTGAAATTAGTGTAGTTGCAACTTTGCTGATGGCTCACTTCATGGGCTATCGGATTAGTGAGGGATAAATTCAATATTACGGAGACAAATGCGCTGTTCTGCAGCTCATGGAGTTCATGAGTTGTGCATTACGGGGTGAATTGTGGGGGAAAATTCACAGAGAAAAATTTCCTACACGGATTTCTAGACATTTCAAATGTGTAGATTTCACACATTCGCATGTGTGGATTGAATAGGTTTATATGACAATTTGAAATGTCTAATAGAACATCAGAATACTCAGAAGGAAATATGAAGGATCAACAAATATCTACACAAAAATGTTGTAATGAAATATGAAAATGTGCAGAATTTTGCACATTTTCAAAATGAGCAGAAATCTAGTAATTTTCAAGTGCATTCCAACTATGTAAATTTGCGATCTTCTACACATTAAAAATGTGTTAATTTCCGCACATTTGATATGTCTGAATCCAGACATTTCAAATGAGTAGATCTCCGGAATTATAAATTCTTCTCAGTGATGAATGAGAAACAAAGTGTGGCGGAGGAACTCACTGCACTGTGTCTGTTTCATCTCCGTGTAATCCTCTTAAAAGTCCATACTGCACTATGACAATGGCAGGAGCGCCCCATCCCAGCCAAATGAGCCACTTCACGAGCTTCTTCTCCGACACGAACGCCGCCACGAGGACTGTGTGAAGGTAGAAGCCCTCGCAGAGCATCCAGGCGTAATTTGTGAGGAGAAAGTAGTGGAGCACCAGGTGGAGCACGACACAGCCAGCCTATATGAATGAATAATATTTTCACTCTCTGCTCTGGCAATGGCGAATTACAGAATGTGCGTTCTCGCATTTACATACATCCATATATTACGTGAATTTTTGTTGAATTTTTATTATAAAATGAAGGAAAATACCGCCAGGCGCGTGTAAACACACACTCTCCTGGCGCACACAGGATAACTCTTACAGCAGATTAGAATTTTAAAATATGCTCTTTATAGTTAATATCGTCTGTTCTCTATCCCTAAATCAGGCTAATAAAATTCAGAAAGACGGTGCACGAGCGGATATTCTGCCAAGACAGCGAGAAAAAGGCTGTCTTCCTTCGCCAGAGGTGCCAAAGGAAAAGCACATGCTCAACAAATATTCCCACATATACAGCATGCAAAACGGAAAACGTGACGTGAAGATGGTGAATATGACTCACTTCATTTTGCTCAAGAACTTCTGGTGATCCTAAGACGACTCGATACCAGAGCAGCCACAGGGAATTGTTGGCGGCGAAGGATGAAAACAGATTCATATGTAATGTAATTCTGGAACACTTGAGGGACCTGTTGAATAAATTTTAGCATTCACAGAGTTGTGAGGAAAGCTGTTTGACTGAGTACACACCCTCGATGAGGGGATGATATAAAAGGAGAAATAGAACACATCCCTTTTGACAATAAAACAGACTATATATCTGACGAATTGGAGTGGTGGGAAAATGGATAAAAATATGATCTCATTAATATTTATTAACCCACATCGTCACGATGAAAATGGAATTATTTTACGATTATAATCTGGCTCTTTGGATTATAATGTGAAATGGTTATATGAAGTCGTATAATATTTCATTCATGATGCGGAAATTCTCAGTTTTCGTGATATACGTGCTCAGAAATTCTTTTACGTATACATATAATTCCTCCTCTCACATTATACATAATAAATAAAATGATGAAAAAGTGAGTAAAGTGAAAGGGCCAGTTAGGAATATCCGGTGTTACATTATAATAAATTCTCGTGATAATGCAGCAAATTCGCCCGGATACGAAACACTTCAAGAATCGCTTTTGTGTCCCTTTTGGTGGGTGTGAATTGATTTCTTTTGATAAAAAGCACAACGTGGGAATATTTGCATTCACCTTGAAAGGCGACAGAAAAGCTTTTCAAGAAGACTCACTGTGCTTTTGACACTGCTAATGTGCATATTTATCATTTCTCTATGTGATTTCCACACACAAAAAAAAGAATGCAAATTCCACTTATCATCAATGCTGAGGGAAACTGTTGTTGCCTTTGTTAACGATCTGAGGTAATTACTGTGACCTCATGAGATTATTAATGGGATCCAATTGCGTGACAAGGATTGATCCTGTAAAATAAGTCCCCACAAGAACTCTGAACAATCACAGTCTGTAACACCTAATATGAATTACACTCAAGTATACATAGCTGCAATGCCATCGGGTTATTAATCACTTCCACGTGTCACCAGATGAAGCATTACATCCCAAGGGAAGACGAGTGACGCTCAGATTCCATATTTGTTACAAATAACACCGTTGACGCCACTGCAATTGATTCACGGGCGAAAATGCTCGCTACACACCTCACATTCTCTGTGCACATTTCCATATTGTGAGATGGAGTCGCCGGGATGTCGGAAGTATACATATCACGGCTATAGTAAATTGAGATGTTCACATTTCACAGCAAATTCACACTGTGAATTGAGCATTGTGACATCAATAGTGTCCATTGGCATGCAAAAATGGGGAAAAAGTCACTTCTTTTTTGCAAATAATATCATCCACACATTGAATAACATTCCATTTCAACGAGTTAATCGAAAACTGTGAAAAGTCTGAGTTGAAATTTAGCTTAATCCTCAATAATCCTTACAATCGTTTATTAGAATTCTAATATTGCTCTGAAATAATATTTTTCTGACTATTTTAATTGATTTTAATTGAAAAATTTTAAAATATTACTTTCCAAAATTCTTTCTTAATAGTCTTTTAATAGAGTGGAAAATCCCTAAAGCGTAGAATTAATTTGTGTTTATCAAAGAACTGTTTTCATGCGTTTGATTGCAATTTGAAGCAATTTTCGCAGATAAAATGTACGGTGAAAATGGTGAAAATTGGACTTTTCATCGTTTTCAATTCACCCGTCGATTTGCAAAGCTCTCATTTTATTCAAAAGCACATTAAACGACATCAAATGATTTTGTAGGTCAACTAAGTTATTCATACTTTTGCCACATGATAAGACAAACCAACTGTCTTCACCACCCTTCCCTTTCGCCCTCGGGGTGGAATTCCTATGCATATGTGGCATTGCATGAAAAATCAATTAACATCAATGTGCTCTGTGAATGAAGAGAGAATGATGTGGGACAAAAGAGTGGGAAGCCGTAGAAGAACGCTTCTGCGGAGTAACGACAACCTTTTGAATGACGCCTCGTGTGCTCTGTATTTATGCCATCAACAAGACTCAACGACCTATCGGATGTTTAAAGAACACACATGCATACATATGATGGAGGGACTGATTAAAAATCAATAGGGAGATACTCAGAATAGCACATTACAGATTTTCAGTGGGATGGTGAGTGAGTGAAAGTATTTACATTTCCCATATTTCACCCATGGAGAATGGCTTGATTTGATTGCAGAGAGCGAGTCAGAGCGAAAGTGAGTCACTTTCAATTCAACATTTTCATCATTAAACAGCTTTCTGTGTGTGTGTTGATGGAATTGGAGAAGCGAGTGCAGAAAGGGATGTGCCTATGTGGATTGCAGGGTAATCAACAAGAAAATGTTAGCACTTGACTCACCTAAAATAGCCTAAAATCACTAAAGACAGCAGGATGGCAATCAGGGATATCGAGTATCCTGTTTCATATATTAAATTGACTTGCTGCCTCCACTGAAAATCATAAGTGAGCAGAGAAGAACAAGTTTGTATTGGCTTCGATGGGAAACTAATTTACGGCAAAGTTTGGCAATTTATATCAAGGCACTTACTTCAAAGTCATCGTAATTAACGCACGTTGTGTAGTTGGACCACGTTTTATTTGTGAGAGGATGCTTATACCAAACTCCATCCGAACTGCATTCCTTGTGGGCATAACCTGCATTTCATTACAAAATATACAAAGTGCTGCTATTGGACAATATAACTCAACACTGGCGCAACTATTTTGCCACATTCTTCAGCTGGTAATTTTCAATGGCAATTAGTTTACATATTTGTGGGCATCAAACTTACGTGCTGGATCGAAACCTGTGACGAATTCTGGACATGGAGCAAATGCTGCGGTTCCTGCTGGCGTGTTTGGCCAACACAGCCATCCATCAAATGTTCCCGGACAATATGTGCCTGTTCAGCAAATGATATCAACACGGAATTATTGCAAAACACACCAAACACCGCCAATATTTGAAGAATTTCACAGTCACGGAGTGCAATTTGTTATTTAAAGCATCTCCACTGGCGGCAACTTATTGTGAATGATATGCAAAATCTATTATGTTGCGCTGAAGTGCACGTGAAATACAAATAAGGATGAAAATGTAATTTGTTCCTGCATCCGGATATCCTCGAGCAGGAATGCTTATGTGACATGCACATAAATAAATATATGGCAAAAGCAAAATTCTCGAGTATTCTCTAAATTTAATATCGCAGTGCAATGTAAACTATTTGAGTCAAATACAACAATAAAAATAGTTAAACAAGTTATATAAACTCGTTGAAAATTGTCGCAGGTTTTGTGTGTATTGAACGCCCAAATGCGATTTATAGTGAATGGGAAAAACCTGTAGCGCCAAAGTTTCCAGCAAAGAGCTTTTTCTTATTGATTGCGGCGCATTTAGGATCTACATTGAATGAGCGCGGTTGGAAATGGGGCTGTTTTCTCCCACTTACACTCTCTGTCACACTCTGTGGTTATTCTATGACACCTTCTCCACGCCCCCGAACGACAATTGCTATATATATTGAATTTAACACACATGAAAAACAACCCAAACGACAAATATACAACGGCAGACTGCGATGATGGCGTGAACCACCCTCTGATCCCGTCGCCTTCCTTGACTCTCAATCAAAATGAAAAGTGGCGGGTGAAGTGAGATGGAACAGTCTATGTATAGAACAGGAAGTCAACGGGGAATTCCCCAAACAATATATGTATTCGAAGGATTGAGATAATCGCTTGGGGCATTTATTGAAAGTTATTTATATTTCATATGATCCCACTGGGGATATGAAACATATATCTTCCATTTCTCCGTCCTTGCGAGACTCACCCCAAACGCCACAATGTCATGCTAGTGATAGAATTTAAGTGAAAATTAAGCTCACCGTCCTCCATCGTGCTGGTGGATTTGTTGAGCTCCTCCAGACACTCGAGGCGCTTCTGCACCAGCGGATGTTCAGTTGTGGTCGTGGTTGTGGAGCTGGAACTCATCATTTTGCCTCTTGTGCCCTCCTCAGCTGGTGGACTCTGTCCGCAGAGAAAAGCCTCTGTCCCTCACTGTGGACGATAATTCCGGGATGAAATGCATAAAAAGAGATGAAGAAGAATATAACTTTTCCCCGCACTAAAGCAAATATTTCGGCCCGATTGATTTCCTTTTATTACATTGGGAGGAGCAAAAATCACGTAACTCGCAGAGGACTTTATTATCCTCTTGGGGAAAATCAATGTGAATTAGCAGCAGAAAAATCCCCCACAATAACTCCTCGTTTGCCTCTGCCAAGGAGGAGATAACATGCCTGAAATCTGTGACACTTGAGGTACTTCTGAACGTCATTATTGTGAGGTTATGAATTCTGCCTAACAACTTCTTCTTGAACTAATTTGAACCCTTTATACCTGGAAATGAGTAAATATAGTAAATTACACACTTTTTACAAGATAATTCCGTTGAATTTGCCATTTTGATGCACAGACCGTGGAAATAATTTAAAAAAAGAGTCATTTTTGTGGTTATGATTGATTTCTCAACCTGTGTCTCCATCAATATGAAGTTGGTTCAAGCAAAGATGCTCAATTCTACCAAGATAATGTGGAGTATTCCGAGATTAAATGCAAATTTGATAATTTTTAGGCTTTTTAATTAATAACATAACCTAGAAAGTAATAAAACAGATTTTTCTAAGTAAAATATTTAAGAAAATGCCTCATTTGGCTGAAAAAGAAGCTTTTGCAGTGCAAGTATTCTAAATATTTCACCGTAAAGCTGTTCACCATAATATCTCCCCCTTGGCTTTCGCCTAAACTTGCTGGATTTTCGTTTAGCAATTGAATTACAATGACTTGGAAGAAATAATCGGCGGAATAAATTTATGTCTCAGCGGTAAGTTGTTGGCAATCAGTTTTGAGAGAGCGTGCTTCGAGACTCTGTGTTGATCATCAGTGATGTAGCATGAAAATGCGAGCTGGGCTTATGGATGTGAAAGCCCGGGATTGTGGGCGAATTACGGCGAAAATCGATTTACGGTGAATTGCATAGGAGAGAAAAGAGCGCCGCATCGGCATTGATTTTAATCAATTGGCGCTACTCCATATGGGGATAATAGAAATTGAGCTTACAATGTTGTACATTTGCCATGTGGCAGCAGAACGCTGGCGGCAATTATATCACGTACAATCTGATTGAATTGCAATGCTTAGAGCGAAGTGTGTTAAAACTTTATCCCCAGCTTTTTCATTTGGAGTTCTGAGTACAGATTCAGGACTCTAATTGCATTCGAGGCTGTGCGCTGAGATTTAATGCCACATTCCCTTGCAACAAGTCCACTCTTTTTGTCCTTGTGAATTGAATGTGTTGCAATTTGTCTGTGAAACGAGTGAAAAATGGTGGTAATTAATTTTCCCACACTTTCCAGCAGTTGGAAAACACCTAAAATATCAATGATTTATTGGACTTTTTACTACGCACTCGCATAATTTGGTACATTTGTTAGATGAATAATAAAAAATGGGAAAAAATTCTTGGCAAAGTTACAATTCATCTTCGAAATCTTCCAACAACAACAACAATTTATATTCGTGCGGATGTGTTTCTGTGATTCAGTGACTTTGAATAAAATGCCACCGTTTAACTTCCATGGTGATATAGTAAATAAGGGTGGAATAATGTCTTGTTTATAAGATGTGGCGAATGCGATAGAGGCATTCAAATAAACTTCCGGTCACAAGAATTCTATACCTTCTCTCTTGTGAAATTCGAGATCACAGCAAATATGTACATATTTTTCCTTTTCCTCCACATCTTGAAGAGAAACATTGAAACCACGTCGAAGTTTGTTTATTTGCCAGTTGAAATTTTCCAACATTATACATACAAACATATCCGCATCGCAATCATTGCAAGTTTCGCCAACGCCAAGGAAGGAAAAGTCTTTGAAAGTGAGCAATTTTTAGTGTTCGCCAAAGTGTTGCAATTCAAGACAAGGAAGGAAAAGTCTTGAAGGGTGTTTCGTCAAGTGCGGTGGAAGTTTTCCGCTAATAATATGTGAATATATTGTAAGTCATTTGGTGAAATTGCTTCACTCGCGAAAAATCACACATAATGCAATCTCCAGGCGTTTAATGAATACCCGCCAGTTTGTGGTAAAGTCAAGGTCTCTGTCAAGATCCGCTGCGATTGCACTGTTGGTGAATGTGATAATAAAATTACGATGCTCTACGTGCCCCTGGGAAGAGCCATTGTGACGATTTTTGCGAGCGCTCTCGAGACAAACTTGCACTTCGTCAAAATATTTTACGACATGTTTTTCGGTCTTGTCGCATGTCGACAGAAATATAAAAATATCAAGTATTGTCATCATTTGACGTCATAACACTTGAAATCACCTAAACTTCGGGCGAAAGCTCAAAAGTGTGTGACTTTCATGCAATGCATGTGAAAGGTGAAAATGTCCCCATTTTGTATTCATAGTGGTTGGAAATCACAGAAAAGCATTAGATATGGAGTGATTGCAATTTCTGCATGCACAACTTTGTATATTTTTATGATTGTACTTTATCACCGCACTTCAACATCACATTCTGTCATTTCTGCTTCGCTTTCGGGGATGTTTTTGTTTCTGCGATGGGTGAAAAAATCTACATAAATTTCATTGATAAATGTGACACGGTGTATTTTGGGCTTGCGATGTAATGAAGACAGTAAGTCATATGAAGAGTTCTTATCTACTCCAACGATGACACATTGTGTGGCGGGTATTTCTCAATAAATATCCAGTTTATGTGAAAATGTTTATGCGCGAAAGCGAAGCCCTGAAACGCTCCTAGCTTGTCACTCACGCTTCTTATCCTCTTAGATTTTTCTATATAAAAGAAGAAGACTTTTATAATGGTAACGTAAATATTGCAGGGGAATTTTAGCGTTGTAAATGATATCACGCGAGAGGAAAAATGTGACGTATGGCGAACTAAGGAGGGACGACAAGATGGAACTCTAGGAGGGATTGGAAAGTGCTCGTGGCATATTTTGTGGGACAAGGGGGTGATTTTGTGGTCGAAAGCGGTGTACAGCTTTGCGGCAGTGTCAGAAATTGGAAGTGATTAAATATTTACACTGCAGAAGCTTCTGTTTCAACCGTTTCAACCGATTGAGACATATTCTGAAATATTTTACTTAGAAAAATCAATTTTATCTCTTTTCTAATTGGGAATATAATTCTTTTTTTTGTATCAAAGTTGAGTATTTTGCGTTTAAAAACTT